TCATGTTTTCGTAGCTAATCGTGTACAACAGATCCATGAACACACCCAAGCTCAGCAGTGGCAGTATATCGACACACGCTCCAACCCAGCAGATGCTGCTTCCCGAGGTCTGACAGCCAAGCAGCTCTTAGATGATAATTACCGCTGGTTCAGAGGCCCTCACTTCCTATGGAACCCTGGTGCTTATCAAGCAGAAGTAGAGAACACTCCAGAACCCTTGGATCCGAATGATCCAGAAGTCAAGGTGTCCACCCTTGCAACACAGAGCGAAGAGAGCTTTCCTGATCACCTTGAGACTGCCAGGTTGGATCGGTTTTCCAACTGGTTCAAAGTGAGAAGAGCAGTGGCAGTTTACTTGCGGTTTAAACGCCTATTAAAGGAAAGAAGATTCCAGAAACCTACAGAAGCTCAAAGCAGTAAGTCAGTGGAGGAGAGTGCTTCACGTTGTCATCCCGTAGACATGGAAGAAATTGGTCACGCTGAGATGGTAATAACGCACTGTCTTCAACATGAGCATTTCAAAGAAGAAATCAAGGCTCTGTCCACGCTTCAAACGAACGGCGAATTTACTGATAGAAGGAGAGCCAAGCAGCGTAATCTTAACCTTAAGAAGTGTAGCAGTCTTTATCGCTTAGACCCATACTTGGATGCAAATGATATCCTGCGTGTTAGTGGCCGAATACGTAGAGCCAATATGCCCGTAGCTTCCAAGCATCCAGTCATCCTACCAAGACGGTCGCACATCACAAATCTCATTCTGCAATGTTGTCACCAAGCAATCAAGCATCAAGGTAGCGGAATGACTCCCAACGAAGTCAGACAACGTGGTTACTGAATAATTGGTGGAACATCAGTGGTGGTGAATCTTGTTTCAAAGTGTGTCGTCTGCAGGAAGCTGCGTGCACCGCTTGTGCAGCAAAAGTTAGCGGACCTCCCAGAAGATCGCGTAGAACCTGCCTCACCATTCACGTACAGTGCGGTCGACTATTTTGGCCCGTTTCTACTAAGGGAAGGCCGTAAGGAGATCAAGAGATACGGTGTATTGTTCACATGTATGGCGCCCCGTGCCATCCATATCGAGACCGCGAATACACTAGAAACCGACTCCTTTATCAACGCGTTGAGGCGTTTTCAAGCAGAGCGTGGTCCAATACGCCAGCTGAGGTCAGATAGTGGAACGAATTTTGTCGGAGCCCAAAGAGAATTGCAAGAGGCTCTGAGTGAGATGGATGAAGACAAAGTACGTAACACCTTGCTGAAAGAGAACTGCGAATGGGTTTCGTTCAAAATGAATCCCCCATCAGCTAGTCACATGGGAGGTTCTT